CAATTGTCCTTTTCGCATTGATGTTTCTCTTTTATCTGGCCACAAATTGAATTTTAAGTATTCCCTTTCAAATTTGTAAATTGCTTCTGCTATTTTATTTCGAATCTTGATTGATTACACCGAGAACAGCCCAGGGCAGTATGAGCTCCTCTTCGATTCATTTAATGCCACTTGAAATATATATAAAAACTCAATTGTCTGGTCTCAAGCAGCCAACTGCATAACGAGGCCATAGGCATGGCCAACTGGCCAGCAGACGGCCAAATGAATGCGTGGGAGCTGCAAGGTCTCGGGGGGAAACGTATAAATTATAAGCACGTGCTGTCTAACTATAGCTGTATATATGTATATACACCTGGGACGCAGAGAGGAAGAGCTCGATGTACAACATTTTCAAGTGCCAAAAGCATTTTCCACAAGTCGAAAAATCGCCTGAGTAATTTGCTGCCGCCAGCCCCTCCTGCCAAAGGAACAGCGCTAGCCACATCCCCACCCACATATATTGGCCACCTGCAGCAACAACAGACGCTGCTCCATTGCCAAATACCACAGGGGAGCGCATGCAAACGGGCTGCAACTGCGACAACGTTGCGGTCGAAACTTGCCGAATAGCCAAAGCAGATAGCTAACGCGTGGGTGTGGCCCACACATGCATAGTAGACAAAGTAGTGCCACCCGTATCTGATTAATGTCCGTGCGGCTATCTAGCTGAACGCCAGCACATGAGCGCAAAAGACCCTAAAATAGTTTGCCCTTCCTCTTACTGTTTTATATACAAAGAGAGAGAGGGGCATATTGGTTCTTGTAGATAGAAAGTTGTAAATGTAAATTTGTTTCGTGTTTGGCTGAGTCTAAATTGCGTCCATGAACAAGCTCAAGCTGAAGCCGACGATGATCTCTAAGCGCTCATTCAACTCCTCTCATATATTAGAGTGACCAAACTCCTGTCAAAAATGATTGCTTCTATTTGCTCTCGCTTGCTCTATAATAAAAACAAATTCAAGGTTGGCTTTTGTGAGTAGTATAATAATTTTCTGCAAAAATTATATCATTATATTGTTCTTTTGTTTCAGAGTGACCAAATTCTTCTTAAAATGTCGAGTATTCTACTTTTACTATATACATCAAAGCTATTCCTTTGCTAGAGGAGAAGGAGCAGCTTTGATTACTAAGCGAAAAAGTTAAAAATCGGCTAGCATTAGCGAGTCTAGATATATTTAAACAAAATTTGAAAGATAGCTCTCTAAAGCTGCGAAAGTTTTTTTTTTTTTTTTTTTTTTTTTTTTTTTTTTTTTTAATTTCTTATATAAACACATAGATAAATTAGTACAATATTCTTATTTTTTATATTCAACTCAAAAATGTAGGCTCTTGCTTAACAAGTATTACGCTAACGTTTACACCCGCTCGTCAACAAATTTGGGCTTGTTCTTTGGCTAGCGGTTCGCGCAACACTCTTGCAACTTTATGGCCAGGCCAGGAATGCTGGAATTAAAGTGAGGCTGCTGCTATCAGTTTAAGTGCTCTTTTTTTGCCACACTTTACGAGCGTCGCAAGCGTAATTAAAAATGTGGAGCGCATAGTCGCCGGCCGCCCACAAGAAAACGAATTGAGCTGTGCGTATGACTGCTTGACTATTGATTAGACGTTAAGTTAAAATAACAACAATAACAACTTGATTGCTTAGGTCAACATTTGAGGCGTCAACTGTGCGGAGAGAAAGAGCTAAAGAAACAGTGAGACAAAGATATAAATGTATACATATATATATAGAGAGAGAGAGAGAGACAAAGAGAGATCCGGAAGCAAGGCATGAGTAAGAGCCTCAAATACATGTAAATGTGACTGGGAACAGCAGCTCATGGCCTGGGGGCCACCTACAACAACTGTTGATGCCAAAGGTAACAACAACAGCAGCAACAACAACAACAACGCCAGCCAGCCACACAGGCAAAAGTGAAAGTGACAAAGTGTAGCTTGCAGAAGGAAACTGAAATTCGAGCGACAATGACAATGCGAATCGACGGCGGACAGCGCTGTGTATCTAAAGCATTAAAAACATTACACTAACAACAACAAAAAAAACGAAGATAAATAACAAAAATAGTAATATACAAAAAAATCACACACAAAGAAACAAGCAAAATAAACGCCGATTGCAATGTTTAAAAAGTGAAACAACAAGCCAGACGAAACGTGATAAATGATAAAGAAAAAGCTTTAAGAAAAAACACAGTCAGCAAAAGTATCTAGAAAGTCCATTGAAAGAAACGACGAAGCCAAGACACCCTTGACTGCGTCTCAAGACGATTTGGCATCAGCTCAGTGCTTGAAGACCGGCTCGGCGCATTGATAAATTAAAGACTTTAAAGTTTATCTATAGGACCAAAGACTCGGATATGCAAGTTTGAACTGCAGGCTAAGCTTTGCCTGCCAATTGAAATGTCAAGTCAAGTTTAGACTTACTTGAGGCAGTTGGGAATAAGGAAGTTTCTCGAAATTAATATTTGACGTTAGAAAGTATTAAAATTTTTCTAAGTCCCAAAAGAATATGCTTCAGTTAAGTTCTGTTTTGAGTTATTATACATAGATACTCATTGATATGGGAAAGCAAGTTCAACAAACTGTACAATAACAGCATCACACACAGAATATATTAAACTCAACGAAAATTCAATTATGCCAGAAACTTTTAAGAAAGCAGAAAATTAAAGCACGCCGCGGATGCTAATAAATACTTATATGCATATATATTCCCTTTAAGCAGCTAACATTGTATGATTTACATGAGATGAGAACGAACGGCCTGTTAGGGTATTAAAATGTAAAATTCATGTAAAAAGTTGCTCGACTTTGTTAAGTTGGCTTTGCTTTTTGGCCTAGAAAACTGTTTTGTGAAGAGCCAACGGCGGCAGCAGAGATACGGGCGACTGCCGTAACTTTGACTCTAGTTGCGGCTTGTTGCCCGTTGCCCGTTTCCCGCTTCTTATTTTTTTTCATTTACCATTTTGCCAATTCCCAGCACTTTGGCTGGGGCTTCCCCGAACTGTCCAGTCGAACGGCAAGCGCGGCAATCGTGGTTTGCCCTCGAGGCGACCCCCTCGGCGCTCTCTATCTCTCCGCTCGGCCACGTTGAGTTCAAACGGAAAACTTTGGGAAAATCATTCACACAAGTCAACTTAATTAAAATGGACTTTTCCGCCTCCCAGCCACAGCTTAGCCTTGACTGCGCTTTTTTTTATCTTCCTGCTTAAGTGGCGAAAACCGTTAATTTGCCCTCCTATGCAAAAGATTAAGAAACGGAAAAAATGATGCCCAAAGACAAATAAGTGACTCGGGAAAAAATGCGAAACTATAAAAAAGAAGCTCTCCGCAAGCTAAACTTTATGCACAAATTATGAGACTATTGCTGAGAAATTGCTTTTTAATTAGTTTCCAGCGGGTTTCCAGAACTGGCGCCGGTTCCAGACTTGGTTTTGAGTATTTAATTAATTTGGATTTTTATACCCTGAACCCATTTTCAATGGGAAATTAGGGTATAATGGTTTTGTGAAAAAGTATGTAACGGGCAGAAGGAGGCGTGGCAGACCCTACAAAGTATATATATTCTTGACCAGGACGGCTGAGTCGATATAGCCCTGCCCGTCTGTCCGTCCGCCCGTCCGTATGAGTGCGTCGATCTCAGAAGCTAGAGAGCTGAAATTTGGCATGCATACTCGTGTGTACTATACGCAGTACGAGTTTGCTTTATTTTTTCGATAAATCATCCGATAGCTTTTTTATCGAGAATAATCGAAAACTTGATTTCGTTTTTTCAACCTAATTTGAACACTTTTAGATCGAGAAACTTCAGATTTACTGTGTATATACAGTTGATCGATACAAAGATATTGTCGTTTCGCCAACAATTTGTAAAAAACCCATTTCAAATACTAGAGACTTGTGCTTTGGAATGTACACACATATTCCCCATATGATTACGCTCTAAAAGTTTCATTAAGATTGTATGTCTACAAAATTATTCGACAAATAAATTCTCATAATATTGCCCACACTGCAGCGCAGCCCAAGCGCAGYCGCTGCTTACTGYGCAGTTAGCAGAGCGCAGGCTTATGCATGCGTGTGGATGCATGTGTATGTATGTGTGCATAAAAGAAGTGCAGAATGAKTAGAATATCAGCTTGGAGGGTTCAGGGTATCTCCCAGTCGAGCAGTCTCGACTGGAGCCTTCTTACTTGTTATTGTTTACGATGCTTCGGCTGTAGGTCAAGTGAATTATGTGAGGATCTAGAGGGTTTCAACTACGGAAAAACAATATGAACGCTTTGTCTCGAGAGCTGTATAGGAAAATCTGCCCCCAGCCCGACAGACATTGCCTCCCATTCTCTAAGCTGTGCCCCTAGCCAGCTGCTGGTTCTTATCGCCTGGCTGCCAGAGGCTTCTCAGAGAGGCTCCATTGACGTCGTAATCCGCATATGGAAGCCAATGCATAGATATTAAAAGGACATACGCACAATCAAAATGCAAAAGGACGTAAGGCACGAAAATCAATTAAGCTCCGTCGTAGGCAACTGGGAAAATCTTTTCCTAGCTGAATATTTTGCATTTTTGTTGGCTGGCATAAATAAATTTTGGCTTGACTTTTTTTTTTTTTTTTGTAATTTTGTCACCGTTGTTTTTTTTTATTGTGCATAAAGTACTTAGAGCTAATGATATAATTAAAGTATATTTATATTTATATGTATTATGTATTATGAATGGAGTTATATATCAGCTTTCGCATTATCATCATCTACTAGCTTCTCCTTCTACTTCTTCTTCTCCTTCTCCTTCTTCTTCAATTCATTTTCTTTTCCGTTGCTCGAATGCCAAGTGAAGTTCCCTACCCGGAGAACCCGGCACTTGTCATCTATTAGCTAAATGGATTTGGGTTAGGCAAGTGTGAGAAACAGACGAGATTATGTGTGACAGAGAGAGAGAAAGCGTGTGTGAGTGAGAGAGGAAGAGATGAAAATGGTGATGCCTCGAGTGATGCTTGGTGAGTGTGGAAAGTCGGAAACATTTTTATATACAAAAGTGTCGGACGACAGAGGCGCCCATTCGGTTGGGGACTGGAACGGATACTGGGTACGTCTTCTCGTCCAGAGTATTGGGTCAAGTCGCAGTTGTAGTGTTGAGTGTGGGAAGAGTTGAGTGTTAGCGCGTCAACGACAGGACTAGTCAGCAGCTTGAACCGAGTGTGTGATTGTCTGTTTGTCCGATTGTAGTTAGATCGAGGTGTGAGTTCTATTCCGAGCTGCTGCTTAATAGGGGCCAGACTTGCCGGGTGGGCCGTAGTTGCTCGACGGCGCCGAGATGCCACCGCCTGAGAGATCACCGCCAGAGAAGCCGCCATCACCGCCGCCAGTTGTGTAGCCGCTGCCAGTGTTGGTCTGGGTGAATCCACCGTTGCCGCCGCCGATGCCGCCGCCGATGCCACCGCCAATGCCGCCACCGATGCCGCCACCGATGCCGCCTCCAATGCCGCCGCCGCCGCCGCCCTCCTTTTGGGTCTTGTACTTGATGAAGTAGACTTCGGGCTTGGAGGGCTGCGTGGGTGCTGGCGTGGGAATGACAATGTCTTGCTGATCCTCGGGCTTCTTGACCAGCACGTAGACCAGGGTCTTCTCTTCGTTCTGGGGCTGCAGCGGGATGACTGGAGCCTGGTACGAGGGTGGAGATGGCGCCTTAATGAAGATGATCTTGTAGTGCTTCTGGGCCTGGCCGACGGGCAGGTTGGGTCGCTGACGCACTTCCTCCTGCTCTGGTGGTGGCACGTGCACATAGATGTGCTTCTGCACCAAAGTGGTACCGCCACCGCCGCCGCCGCCTCCGAATCCACCGCCGATGCCTGTAAAATTATCCAAGATTAGCTGTGAACTTAGTTTAATTGGGAGATCGACGCACCGCCTCCGAAACCACCGCCGGATCCGCCACCGAAGCCGCCGCCGCCGCCGCCGAATCCGCCACCGCCTCCTGAGCCGCCACCGAATCCGCCACCGAACCCGCCGCCGCCTCCACTGGAGCCGCCGAATCCGCCACCGGAGCTGCCTCCGAATCCACCACCGCCAATGCTGCCACCGCCGCCACCGGGACGGTTGTAGTTGTAGCCAGCTTCAGGGCGCGCCGCGGCCAGAGCCAGGCAGGACATTAGGATGAAGGTTTTCATGGCGTATACGTTTGGGTATATGTGTATATTCACGGATTAGCACTCACACACTTGCACTGTCACAGTAATCCCGGGTCTGTGCCGTGTATTGGTGTGGGAGCCACAGATGCGGATGGATAGATGTAGATGTGGGAGAGAGATACGTTGGTTAGGTTGCCTGCCAAGCTGGATGCGGCTAAGGTTCTCACGTTTTGATTTGAGTCTTTTTCTCAACTATTTACAGCTATCCTCGGACTCGGTTCACCGATGTTTATTAGACCAAATCAAATGCTTCACTGACGAACCAATGCAGCCGCATCATCAATTTATACAAAAAATCCAAGCAACATAGATGCCACAGTCGCACACTCGAAACAGTCGAAACAGTCGCCGAAAACTCAGTCGGCCAGCGGCACACACAGACACGCACACACGCTCACACACACACACGCATGCTGATCATGATGATGCGACTGTGCGCATGTGTGGCCCAGGCCCGTAGCTGGCCAGCGAGCTGGCCAATAATGAGCAGCTTCCCTCTCGTTCACGCTCGCATCTCTCGCCCAGTCACACTCTTACTCACTCCCTCTCACTCTCTTTCTTTGCTGTCTGTGATTTTTGTTGTTGCCAAGTCTCTCGAAGTGTAGGACAGGCGCAAGTGAAACCGAAATTACAGCACAATCAACTTATTACCGCACAGGCAGCGCGGCACAGCCACAGAGCCACAGAGCTTTACGATTTCCCGCCTGTCGGATGTGGCGCTGGCAGAGAGCTGCCTCAGTTGGTGCTGCTGCTGCATCATCACCATCAACAGCAACAGCAACAGCAACAGCAGCAGCAGCAGCTGCTCTCACTCTCCGGGTGGAACCCAATGTCGTGCACTTTCGCTCTCGCTGGCCAACCAACTGCCAGCCAGCAGCTCCCAGAGCCCATCGGCGCGCTGGCACTTGAGCTGCGGCAGGCCGAGCGTTCGGCTGCGGCTTTCCTCGGGGGCAACTCGAACTCAAACTCAAAATGAAAATGAAAATGAAAATGAAAATGCGCTCACGATCGTCGTCGTCTTGTAGCTGGCGTACAAAAGTGAAATTCGTTCGAAAATGCCCTGGAAAACGCTGAGCAGAGTCTCAGACTGAATCAGTTCGTTGTTTAACAATGGCAATTTGAATAATTTCGTGCGCGTGTTGTGGATTTTCCTACAATTCGAATCTGGGCTGCCATTGTGCGGCAATCTCTAAATAGCCACATACACACATATGCATATATATATGTATATATCTATATATGTTCACATACTTGTATGATAAATGAGAACATGTGCGAATTGAGAGTTGCAATTGGAGCAAGTGTTGTGTATTTAAATCGAACTCATTGTGATACCCAGCGCGTACTATTCGGAAATATACAGTAGACATTGACTAAGTTGACAACATAAAAACAATTTGAACTGAAATTATTTTATCTTATTCTTTTAAAATATTTAATTTCTTTATACATAAAGAAAACAAATAAATTTAAGTAATACTTTTAGCTATTTATAAAGAGCTTAAAACATATATAAACATTTTATTTTTTAAGAATTTGATTTTGAAAAGAAAAGCAAAGAACAAAATGGTATATATGTCATTTACAATTATAATTAAAATATAAATATTTTGAGATAATTTTTTTTTCATAAAAACTTGATTTTATTAGAACTTTTTTACACTCCATGTTATTAATTTTTTATTTTATTTTCTTTAGTCTTACATACATATATGAGCTGTAATTACCGTCATCTAACATGCATGAAATATAAGCGCATTCTCTATCAGTCAGTGCTCACTGTAGCTCGCTATATACCCTTTTAACGATGTCAAATGCGTTTTACAGTTTTTGCAGCTCAGATAAGAAAACAAAAAAAAAAAAAAAAAACAGCCCAAGCTCAGGTTCGTCGAGAGGCACTTGTGTCATGCAGCTCAAGGGACTGTCCGCAGATTAATCGATAAGTTTTAAAGTAGGGCATTCCCTACATTCATGCCATGCACAATACACAAACTCAAAATTCTTATCATTTTATGTGCTTTACGTTTGCATAGCTTTTATGATCTGTCGAGCCGCACGCTTACGCATCGAAAATTAGCGCATTGCGTAATTTAGTCATAAAAATAAAAACAAAACAAAAACAGAAACAGAAAAAAACTAACTAAAGCAACAAAACATTTCGCAAATTGTCGCCTCTTCGCGCGAATTCACGTAAAATGCATTTTTATTGTGATTGTTGATTGCTTTTCTCCAACTCCACCTGCCCCTCCACTTTTTCCTCCACCTCTGCCTACCACTTCCTCATTCACCTTCTCCTTCTGCCGTTGTTAACGATATTAAATCTGTGTTTTTTCTTGATTTTCTGTTTGTTGTTTTTTTTTTTTTTACATTTCGCTTTGTTAATTGCGCTGGGCACTTAGCCGCATAATAAAATGGTTCAATCGATGCTTCGTTCATCGAACTGTGCCAAAAATTGCTGTGAATTGTGTAAAGTGGTCAAAAGACTTTGTGATTTTTTTTTTTATTTTCAATTTATCGGCAATTTTACTGCTCAGCAAATTCAATTGTTAATTTTTCTCAAAGCGATTCGCTGCAATTTTTAATTTTATTAAATGTTGCCCAATGCAACTCGATTTGTTCACTGCCTTTGGCTTTGAGCAAAAGGTTAACAGCTCGTTGGATATGATTTTAAATCGAATATTTCGCATGAGAGTTCAGTTGAAAAAAATATTCAATAAAAATAAAAATGGAATCAATTCAATCGGCCATTCTATATGCATAAATGGAGTTCCAGAGAAATGTTTAAGTTTGGGTTTGATTTTACTTTAAAAACAATTTATATACATTTTTGTCTGCATGCAATATAAATTATTTGCACACATGATGTAGCTATTAAGCTCAAACTGGTATAAGACTCCCAAGTATAAATATAGCAAGTATACGGTTTTGAATATCTAATAACTTTTCGCAAGTATCAAGGGCTAAATACTTGGTTTCTATGCTGTAGCAAATTATATTGTAAAAAACAAGAGAGATCTGCGAATTCAGATCCAATAATGTTCTCTGTATTCTCCTAACTTCAACTACTACTATAAAATCTTATGTAAGCAGCTATTTATATATTAAATAATCATTATAAAATGTATAAATAATTGCGTATATACGTTTTATTTATAATTTTTTTTCTATACAAATTCTATTGAACAAGTATAACTTGATTGGAAAGCACATTTTTTCTCATATACAGTCAAGTCTATTTTCAGTTTTCATGCGATTTAAACATATTTAAAGCTAAGTCGTGACTACACAAATCGCTTTGGGCGTACGATTTTTTAATTAATGGGTTAACAGCAAGTGTTTAGTGTGTGATTGAGGCAGTTTGAGTTATGTGTGCTGTAATGATCAAAACTAAATGCGTCTGCTATAAGCTGTCAATATAATTTCAATAGTTGTTAACGCGGCAGCTGCATTTCCTGCCTCTTAGCAAAGCTCCCGGCGATTTCACCTTGAAATGCGCTTGCATAACCAGACCCCGCATCCAGTCAATACCGAGCTGCTCCTCTTAGCCAAAACGTATGCAAAATGAAAAAAGAAATGAGAAATAAATGCAAACAAACATTTGCTAACGAACAGCGAACATTGAGCGAGTTATCGACTTTTTGGTCGCTTTTTGTTGTTGTCTCTAAGTGCTTTTGTTGTACAACAATAAATTGTGCTCGCATGTGGGAAATGCTGAATTCAATTGCATTTCCATGGGAGCCTAGAGCAGACCGACTGCAGCCGTGCAGGCCACCGGCAGATGCAATCGCTGGGGCAACCAGCGACACCTCCAAATGAGCCGCAGTAGCATTCCGATTCCGATTCAGATTGCGATTGCTCTTGCGATTGCTATTTGTGGGGCCATCGAATTTACATTTGCAATTTGCATTCAAGTTCACAGACAACGACCGAAAATTGCTTGCATTTTTCATGAGCCTAAACGTTTCACATTCAACTTCCGACTAGACAAGAGCCGGGAGAGCTTGGAATTAGCTGATAGCTAGAGCCGATACTTGGTTAGAGAAATACACGAGAGAGTATGAAACTCCAAACATGTAAGGTCGAGGCCACTTAAATTGGTTGAGTTTAAGCAAAGTTGTTTAGTGAATTTAATCATTGTTTAAATTTAAATTTTGTTTGTAGAATTTTAGGATCGATTGAGAGAGTTTTGGAAGTACAATCCTGACTCATATGTTCTTGAATTACTGTAATTTTGCAAGCAAGTTTTTAATTAAGTAAACAAAGTTTTGCTATTCGGAAAATTAGCCTGGTTGTGTGAATATAGTATATATAACAGACAGAAATAGGCGTGGCAGATCCCGTAAAGCATGCTTATAGTTCAGCACGACGAGTGTTCCGATGAATCGAGCGATACCTATACCATACCTTTAATAAAACTTCCTGCGAATAGTTTAACCCAGAATGAGCTTATTCAAAACTTAATATAATCGCTAGTAGTAGCCCAACTCAAGAAGATTGCAATCGTAGGCAAAAGCGGGACTCAAAGAGGCATCTCTTCACTAGAGCTAAATTTTCACTTGAAATTCTTTGCCTCCCGATGTAATTTGCACTTTATGCACTTAATTGATGTTTATACTAATTTCGTATCTTATATCTTGTCCAATTCCGAAAATGTTCTGCAAGAGCATCCAGTTGCCAACTTCACTTGGTATAATATGCAAATCACTTGGCTAATCTCTTATATTTAATGCATAGCATGACATTTAGTTTACGCCCAAGCCGCTTAACTTAACGTCTCTCCCTCTCTCTCTCTCTCCCTCTCTCTCTCTCTCTCTGCGTCTCTCTCCCGCTCTATAGCTAGTCAATTAGTTGTTAATCCTTTGGCGGGGTGCGCGCAGCTCGCAAATTGCATAAGCAATAAGAGGAAGTCGCCTGAATGCGGCATCCTTTGACACTGAAAGATGAAGATTGCAGCGGCTCACGCAATCAGCGGGTGGCTGCGGATGGCACAGCCCCAGCTGTGGTGGAGTGGGTGCTGGCTGGCAGTAGGAAGTTGCTGGAGCAATGAAGACGACGATGACGGCGACGACGACAGCGTTTGTTGCTTCCTGCATCTTTTTTGTCGCTGCTCATTGTTGCTGCTGTGTGCGTGCATGTGTGAGTGTGTGTGTATGTGTGTGTGATGAGACAGTCGCATCTCCAGCAGCCGCGGCGCCACTTCCTGCTTGTTAGGCAAACACAGCGACAGCACAGCGTGCAAATTTTTGAA